TACTGAGCCGGAAGGATAAAGCCACCTTTGACAAGCTGGAGTATGTTATGAGTAAAGAAGATAATTACAAAAGGCTTAGAGACTATATCAGCAGCTTGAAGATGACTCCTTGTATTCCCTATTTAGGTAAGTAGGAGCATATTTCTCCAGTAATTACACAAACAAACCCCCATCTTTTAAGCATTCATGAAACTGTTTCTATTCTTCATTAAAGAGTCTATAACCCCAGTTGATTCTGCCCCACTCTGTATGTGGCAAGACAGAATTTCAGCAAGAAAATACCTGTTAAACCTCACAAACACTTCAGGTTTTACATACAGTATCAGTTGCTAGGAAATTGTTTTCCCACATGTTGTACAAATACACTGATTGGCTTCTGGAGAAGTGCTTAAATTGTTACCCCTGCTAGTGCCCTTACAGCTGAACACTTGACTGTTATAAAAATGAGGGCTTTTAATTTATGAGATGCTATAAATCACCAGCCTCTGAGATAAATAAATGTACATCTTGGGGTTTGGAACGTGCTAAAATCTGGAGATATTGCTTCATTAGTTACACCAAGGTGACAAGAGAAACAGTGTTGTTATGACTGACTCAGCTTTATGGAGTAATTATCAGTAAATTACATTGCTGTGTATCTAAAAACTAGATAAATGTGTTTAATATGCATTGGTTTTGTTGCCAAGCTAAGAGTTAAGTGTTACTTAAACTAAGACATTAAAGTGATCAGTGTGCTTTTCTTTAATGTAGCTTTTGTTTGATACCTTAAGATGTTGGTAGTCACATAAAATTAAGGAAATGTGTATCCAATTTTTGGTACTTCTGCAGGTATGAGTAGCTCTTACACCTGAATTCCAGATGACTTCTTGTGGTCACTAAGACCTCTTAAACTGTAATATCTTTGTTCCTGAAGTCTGATACTTCCTTTACTCAGCTGGGCTGTTAACTTTGTCAAGATTAATTGGTCGAATTTTAAATGCTTTGTACTTAAATAGAAAAAAATAGCTTGCTGGGAGGGACCAACAGTAATTTTAGTGTCCCATAGTGTTCCTCATTCAGGGCCTGAATTAAAGGGGGCAAAAAAGAAGCCAAGCATAATGTAATGTGATTAAACACGTAGCTTTCCCATCATGTGTACACATACAGTATAGGCACATGGTACAGGGTTCTGAAATGCTTCTGACTTTCCAGATGCTTTTGACCCATATACCATGATTTTTGAAACATGAAGCCAGGCTCAAATTGTTTTCTTGCTGATTGTGAGAGTCCCAAGGCAAGTACTGAGAAGCAGTTTTTTCAGTTTTGTTCAGTTACAGATATTTTCCCTGAGACAGTAGAAGCTTCTTGTCTGACTTCTGTATTAGAATAAGCTTTGGGCTTGACTTGATACTTTGAAGTGAAATATGTAGTTCTTTTCTATTTAGAAAGGAAGAAATGCTCTTTGCTGTGACCTGTTGGAGTTAAAGGATGTGCTGGGACTGGCTTCATGTGATATCAGTTCCTACCAATGACATAAAGAATGTCCTCAAGCCTTTTTTAATTCTCCAGAGAAACAGCAAATACCCACTGGTGCACTCTCTCTAAAATTAATTTTGTAGGGTCGAAATAAGTGGCAAAAAGAACAAAATTGCCTTGAAACTGCAGTCATGATAAATCTGTATCCATCTTGGAGGACTGAAAATTGAGTCCAAGTTTTCTCATTTGATCAGAGCTTTGATTTCCAGTAAGACCTGAGAATATTCGTTATTTCTCACATTTCTTTCCCAAGGCATTTTTGCTAATGTGAGGGTCATATGGAACAGGAGAAACTTAAATTGCTCGGTTTAGTTACTGTTTTAAGCTTATCAGTCTAGGTTACAGTTCCTGAAAGGAATACTTCTGCCATAAAATCATGTACAGGAGTAGTGCTGCTCCTGGTTTAAAATCTGTGGAAAAAGCCTCCACAAAAGTCTGCAGATGGAAATCATGGTGATCATGGCACGTGCCGGGGAGGGGGATTCTTCAGGAGGTCCATTTCCTCTCAGGGGAAAAGGGGGAGTGGGCATTTCTTTACTCTTGGTGGGGAGATCCAGCAGCTGCTGTGCTCCCCCAAAATGCTCTTTAGGAGAGTGCAGAGCATCAAACCTGCCACACAGCTACATTTGGCATTGCAAATCCCCTCTGGAGAAACACCGGCACTGGTTGTTCATGGAGGCCCCTTTTGGATGATCACAGACAAAGTGTGTATATAAAAGAATTTCAGCTGCAATTTCAAGGGTCAATGTTTTACCCTTCAGAGGATACTTGGTTTACCCTTATGCAACCAAATATCAAATATGGGTGGTAGAGGGTTTTTTCATGACCATCTTAGCATTTGTAAGATAAAACTTAAAATGCTTTTTTGGTTTAGTTTTTGCAATGGGAGTGGAGCCACAGAGGTACAGATTGCTGTGTTAATACCTCACCCGCTGTGGATGAGATAAGGATGTCCTTCCACATTTAACTGAGGCAGGAGGGAAATAAAAAAGTCTTATCACAGAGTTGTGATTAATCTGAGATTGCACAATGAAACAGCTGAGCCATATCTTGAGAAGTAAGATTTTTATTTAACTAAGCAGCACTACCTTGTGAAATATTTTCTTATAGCTGTCTTTGAGGAGTTATAACAAGAAACAGAAAAGCTGAAAACAGGTTATTAAGTATATTCAGTATATTAAGCTGAATATTCAGCTACTTCAGTGATGGTGCTCGCAATGGATTTTGGAAATAAATGTGAAAACCATGTTTCAGGTTTGGTACAAGTTAAGCTTTCTTGAGGTCCACCTGGTTAAATTTAGACTGTTGGTACAGGAATGGTGAAGGCTCTGTCCTTCACAGACAGACTGCTCCTGAATGTCCAGGGCAAGAAGGTTGAGGGATGCTACAGCAACTTTTCAAAATCTTCTCTAAAAGAAGTGTGAGAGAAAACACTGAACTCTTGAAGTCATTCACCCTGCTCAGGAAGTTCAGCTCAAAAGCTACAAACTGATAGAGTTACAAGCATTTGAAAGTGAATTATTGTACAGGGTATGAACCAACCTGAAAAAGAGATGCTGTGCTTTCCCTCCTCGTAATCTTAAATTGGCAACTTAATTAAGTCTTTCCTTTCAGAGCACAGCATTTCTACAGTCTGAGGTTTCTGGGTGTATTTTCGTAATAATGTTTAGTTAATGTCATCCTGCAGCTTTAAACTGGGGAAGACTCACTTTTTACATGTCTAATATATAAGATTTAATTAAAAGGCTGAGTGCAAGCTAATTTTACTTTGGGGTTTCTGCAAAGTACACCTTTCACTGACTGCACTGAATAAACAAACACTGTTTTTGTAGCAGGCAAGAGATTTTCAGGGTAAAATAAGCTCTCTGCCGAGGAGAGGAAATCTGCTGGTTGAATGAACTAAAGCTGTCAGAAGTGTTCATTAAAGGAACATTTTGGAGGGCATTTTCAGCTTTTAAGTTTACCTGAACTGCTCTTCTATCCAGCTACCATAGAAAAAAAGGATAGACTGTAGAGAGTCTGAATTTTAAGCATTTGCAAATAAAAAGCATTTTATAGGACACTCAATCAATGAGGTCTGTGTGATATTTGTAACAAACAAATATTCCTTACATGAAGAACAATTTCAGAATGGGAATAGTAAACATTTGTGTCAGTTAAAGTTCTTGGAATTTGGGAATGGAATATGCTGGGACTGATTCCCCACCGCCGCCAACCCCAATTAAATATTGGTGAAACTTGTTGGCTTTGATCTCTTGACCAAAGATTTAATTACAGCCCTTTCAGCCATATATTATCAATGAAGCTTTATCTACTCCAGAGTGTGTTCTGAAAGCAGAAGGCTGTTTCCTCTTCTCTGAATCACATATGAAGCTTTGCACAGCATTTGATACCAACTAATTTAACTTAACAATCATATTGGATTATTCTCTTGGCTGTCGAGGTTTCTTATGTTAAAAAGGGGTGAAGTTCCTTAAAATCCTGAAGGCACATATGAGATGCTAAACAAATACTTTGATTACAGTTCAGAACAGCACATTTAGTTTTATGCAATATTAAATAAAATTAGGCAACCTGTGTGACTAGGTACAGTCATTAAATAGTTTTATATAACAGGAAGAAAGCTTTAATTTTGAGATTCTGGTACCTAAGGTGAATGTTTTGTTGTATCCAATTTTGGGAGTCTTTTCTAATTAATTTCCTAAATTACTTATTAATTCCAGTGGAAATCCAATCTCTAGAAGATAAAATTCAAGATAGACAGTGTCAAAAGTTGTAAACATGTAGAGGAAGGGAAACGTGTGTGTCATAAGAGCAGCCCAAATTTGGGATGACAGGGAGAACACACTCAGAGCTGGTTTCTAACTTTTGTTTTACTGTGGCAGCAGAAATCTGTGTTGGAGGAAAACTTCTGATACTGAGAGACCTGGTCCTCTAAATTAGTGTGTGTGAATACTTGATCCACTCCCATCACTCCTAATGGAAGCAGGGGAAGGGGCTCTGAGTGTCAAGCCATGATTTTAATATCAGGACTTTCAGTTTTGCCATTAAGTTCAAACTATCAAGAAATACTTCTGTTTAATTAGGATGTTTGACTATGGAGGTTGAAAGTAAAAAAAGTACCCAGCAATTTGGTTGTCTGAAGTTTACCAATAATTTCATAAAATCAGTTTTTCTTACATCGGGAGTGTTTTGCCCAAGTGTTTTACAGAAGGTAGGACTTGCAGATCTTAGTGGTGTAGAGAATTCCTTCAGGAATTCTACATTTTATGTTTAATTTGCCACTTCATTTCGAAATAATTATTTGTTGCAAAAATCTCTCTCTGCTGGCAAAGCTAAAATGTCTCCAACTTTTTGTGTAGCTTCTCAGAGTAAATATCAAACAGTAATGTGAAGTCAGATTTTTCATTGAAAGCAATATCCACATTTTTAAATAAATTGTTAAATAACTAATCAATTTTCACATTAAAGCAAGACAGTGTCATTTCACATATTTACATGTAAGAGTTGAGCTAACCTGAAAGAGCATAAGCTTTCTGAAGTGGAAAAGCTTATATCTTGTCATAAATCTGGACTTTTTTACCAGCTTTAATGACTGTTTATGTAAAGTATGTTGGTCTTGAACAAAGGATAAATATGCTTTGCAAGCACAAACATCTGCTTTTGTGAATGTGTGTTTAAAAAATCCCACCGTCTGTCACAGTAGAGAAGGGGTCTGAAAAAGGAGAGGGGAACACGACAGGGAAAAGAAGACAGGAAAACTGTAGACCTGCTTTTTGCAGGGGCAGATTGTGCAAAATAATGATTAAAAAAGTAATACTTTATTTTTTTTCTGGAACTCAAGCACCGGGAAGTTTATACGGGATCCCTCGGGCGCTGCGGGATTTTCCTCCTCAGTCTATAGGCCTGATCATCATCTGAACTGCTTTCAAGGAGTAGGAGCCTCCCCGGTACTCAGCCCAAAATATTCCATCCTGGTACTTGCTCCTGTAGTGGCCTCCCCTGTACCACACCCCGTTGAGGTTGGAGTGGGCACACGCGTTGTACCACCAGCCGCCTTTGTGGAAGTGGGCACAGTTTCCTGTGGGACAGAGGGAAACGGGTGAACTTTGGCTCTGAAGGGCAGAAATGGAGATGACAGTGTTTTTTGTTTTGTGGCTTATTCTCAGAGGGCACTTGGAAGTACTTCACAGCCTGTTGTGGTCACTTGGGTTGCTGCTCCTACTTGAATTATAAACTCTGTTGTAGCAGCAGCCGTTGGCAGAGGGGGGGAATTATTGACACTGTGTTTAATGTGACAGCTGAAAATGAAGGAGATAACTCTTCTCAGGCTACCAGCACTGCTTCTCCATGAGCTAACATCCCAGGAACTCGGGTTATGTGCTGTTTAGAAATACTTTAAGGGAAGCCATGTGAGCTGATACAGCCCCAAGCAGCACACGGGGCCACGGCTCCACAAAGACTTGCTTGTAACTTGTGTTTTTACCGTTACAGGCTTGTCTAAGAGTTTGCAGGATTTGTCCAGCTTTATGGTTACTGACAGCTGAGGAAAAGCAGTTGAAGTATTGCAGTCCCCAACCTTTCCTTTACTGCTAAGGGGAAAGCTGGAGGAAAGCAGCAAAAAAGTGTGCTTTAAGGAGGACAAACCCAATGATCTGCCCCTTTCTCAAGTATTGGTATGTAACTGAGCCTCTGCACACTCGCAGTTCCTTTCATGGTGTCCAGAGGCTTTAGTTCCTGGTGATTATTGTTGTGGGAGCGGCACTACTTGGAGATCACCTGGGCAGGGATTCTGACTGTGCAGTCACATGGAAGTGATGGGATGTCCTTGAGCTAAACAGAGTTGCTGAAGTGTGTTCTCAGTGAGGGTAATAGAATTTGAATTTCTGACTGGTGCAGGGGCTTGAAGGGAGCGCTGCCAACGTGATTTGTGTCACCCTGGCTTTGAAGCATCTTTCAACAGAGTTGCTCTGTCAGAATTTCCGTGCTGGTTTTGGGCACTATATTGCGTTTTAAAAGCTGATATATAACTAATGGACTGCACGTTCCTCGCTTTTCCCACCCACCCCGGTTTCCTTACCTGAATACATGTCCCTGTCTCTGTCCAGTGTGGTGAACTGCTTCCCGTTGTGCCAGATCATGGAGTCGCCGGCGTTCCCTTGGTACGTTCCCAGGCGCAGCCTGTAGAACTCGCTCTCGGGCTCCAGGCGGAAGCTGCTGTACTCAGCATAGACCTTCTTGTTGCTCCAGTCCTCCAGCTCAATCAATAGTCTGTAATTATCCTGATTGCTGAGCATGTAGATGTTTTCCAGTCCCAGCCAGTACTCTCCATCAATGTTTCCAAATCCTTTCTGTATGAGAGAAGATCAGAAGGGGGATGTTGGCTTAGTTTTTCTTGTTTGTCAAAACACTCAGCAGCAGGAGTGTTATAAACCATTGGAATTTGGGCACTGAAAGCCTTTAAGCTTCTGGATGACTGCTCAACACATGCATTTAAGTGCCTTATTTTGCTGCACTTGGACCGCTAAGCTGCACGAGATGCTGCCAGAATCGCTGCCAGCATCAGTAAAGGCAGCAAAATTTCTGTGTTCTGGGCTGTCCTCTTCTTTTTAAGGTAAAGGGAGTGAGAACAGGGAAACTGAAACAATATATTTCTTGACAAAGCTAAGGGAATCTGTAAGAATGGATGAATAATGGAATTTTAGGGATATATTTCCAGGTTGAAAAAGGCTGATTTATGGATCAGCCGTGTCGTTGTTCAAGGCAAATAACTTTTTGTTGCCTTTGTATTTCAACTGGTGTTGGGTTTTACTGTGAATTTAATCACACAATTCATCTGGGCTCTTTACTGGATTTATCAGAAATGAAATATAAAGGCATCTTTCTTTGCAAATCACAGACTGCCAGCACAATAGATGTGAAGTGATATTTCCTATCTGCTCTCTCCTCTGCCCAAGTTTGCTAATGTTTGGTGTTGCATTGTAATCAAAATGTTTGTGGTTACTTTATGAGGCACTCCATAACTCCCTGATTACATTTTATAACATTTAACAGCTCCCAAACCAACCACATACTGTCCTGAGAAGTAAGGACTTTGAATAACTATTGATTTAATGATTATTGATTGATTGATGTATTGAAGAATTTATGTATTCATTATTGATTTAATAATTAATATTTGAACCATTAAGTTCAAGAAGCAAAAATCTGTATGCTGATTTTTTGTCAATTCCTTTGCATACATGATGCTATTGTTAAACTACTGATGGAGTTGAACGTGGCTCAGTTCTCTCTACAGATACAATGCAGGTGGCAATTGCAAATCCACTTCAAATGAGCACAACAGCACAGAGCAAAACTGTGTCCTGTATGTGTGAAGCCAGCACATTATTATTATTTAAAAACCCAACCAAATGGATTTTCAAATTTCCTGTTCAGCATGTAATTACTCCAGAGCAGCATCCATTTCTCACCCTGGGCATTCTGCCTGGTAGTGCATGATATCACAGTAACACACAGGAATGTGTTTCCCTTCACCAGCCTGACATCTTCAGATTTCTAACCTAAATTTACAAGTGGAGATTATTTCCTTCAGTTCATTTGTTAGGACTGTTTTTAAGTTGAGGCCCTGATGTTGCAAATCTTATAATGTGTTTAAATGAATAATTCCACTGGCTGAGTTTGCCTATTCATAAGGGAGACAATTAAGCTTTACAAGTACTTACTGTAGTTCTCAGTGTGTTAATAAAAGTCATGTGTTTAGTTAGAGCTTTGTAATAAATGGCTTCCCAGTCACTGTCTAGAACAACATGTGTCTCCCAGTTGTGTTGTGCATCACAAATAGAGGCTATTTCAGACAAGCTGGTTCACACAAAGTTAACTATGCCTTGAGGGGAAAATAGGACCTTCCCTGTGAAATATGTTTGCCTCTGAGGGGTGGCCACTCTTTCCAATTATCCTTCTTCACCCACTGACTTTCTGCATTCTGTAATTTACCTTGTAACTGTCCCAGTTCCTGAAAAAGTTGACAGATCCATCTGTCCTCTTCTGAATAACTGCCCATCCTCCAGGGTCCAGGCTGTTCTCACACCACAGTTGCATTGGCTCGTTGCTGTTTTCAGGTTTGATCATGTAAATCCCACTGTTGGAATGTCCAGCTTCCTTGGCTTGTTGGCAGTCTTTGAATGGACCTTATGGAGAAGAAATACTGTAAGCATTCAAGCTTGGCTGTGCAGTGCCCATTGCTCAGGAATATTTTGTAATGGAAAGTCAGTAATTCAATTCAGGTGTAAAGCTACCATGGAAAACAGTGCAAAAAGTTACTGTCTGAGATTGATTGTGTATATATAAATAAACATGTCACTATCCTCTCTGTGTATTTTTGAACCCAAACTTCATTTTGCTAAACAAATAATAGAATTTGTTTACCAACACCTAAGTTTTTGTCTACTGTGTTCAAGATTTATACTCTGGCTCTTGATATTGAGGTCCATTATGATTTTAATTAATTATGTTCTTCTTTTTCCTGTGTCATCCAGGCGTGATACAAGTAGGTGGGTACTGATGTAGAAATAAGCAATGGAGAAGGATTTCTGAGGAGCTAAAAGGGCTCATAAACTTGTTTTTAGGGCTGTGGCTCTACAAAAATGCTGTTCCTGTTGTCAGTGCTGCTTGAAAGCTTTATTTTAGTCCATGTGAATAGTGGTTTTACAAATACCACTTAGAGAAGAGCATCTGGTCATTGTGTAAGAAGGGTGCAGTTTGCATATCTCTGAAAACTTTGCCTTTCATTTTTTTGGTAATATTTTTATTTTCTGCTTTTTAGAAAAGAATTTGTTTGTCTATCATGGCTTCAGTTGGTTTAGAGAGACTGGTTATTTACTAATGAAAAGCAAAGTGTGTTCTAATGACTGGTTAGTGATGGGTGCCCTAAATATGTTTGAAAACTCAGTATGTCTGAAAATAAATTACCTACAGCTTTCCTCTCCTCCTGGAAGGCTCATTTTCTCAAACATCCTTGGAAGTTCAGAGAGAACTCATCAGTCACAGAAGCAGCTCATGTGCAAAGCAGCATAGAAGACAGTTGTTGAGGTTATTCTTTAATCAAAAGTAGAGGTTGAGGGAGATTGACCTTCACTGCAGATTAATGTTGTGTGACAAAAGCATGTTGAAAATTGCACTTCTCTTACATTTTCAGGTAGTAGGTGCCAGTTTGACAAATATATGATTAACAAAAAAATCCTTAAAGCATTTCATATTAATTAGAATATATAAAGCTTATGTATCTAATGAAGAGAACTTGGAGCTTCTGGCCATGACAGGACTACCAGGGATGTCGCAGACATTGAGCCATCATTGTAAGTTCTGCTGCACTGTCAGGATTTGTGGTAGTTTTCCCATTCTTCCAGTGGAGGAATGGGAGTTCAGGAAAGAAATCCTGTAGCTGTGGTATATGAATGCTTTTTCTCTTGTTCACAATTATTAAAATTTCCACGTAGATTGTGAAAATTGCAGAGTTTGTCCACAGGATAGATAATTTTGTGGGTTAAGCTGGGTCTCACTTCCTTTCCTTGAACTGTTTAAATTTGGGTGCTCTATAGCTGAACAGGGATGTTGTTCCAAAAGTGTTATTGTAAAACAATTATTGCTTTAGAAAAAGTGTAAACAACCAAGTCTTAATTTTTTGTCATGTTAATTGAATGGTCAGAGGAGCTGGATTAGATCTGCTGGATATTATCTAATGTGATTTCTACCAGAAGAGGAATTGAGGGCCCATTTTTCCATGAGAGACCTAAGCAGATGTTTGGATTGTTTTTAAGGCAGACAGAATTGTACCAGTCTGTTTATATAATGCTCTTGAATCACTGCTAAAATGCAGCTGGCATTACGGAAACAGGATGCAACTCGTCTGCTTTGCTGCTCAGGTTTGTCTGTGTGCTTATCATGAGTTAATGTTTTGGTAGGGGTGTCAGACATTTGCTGTTAGTATTAGGAAATCCAGCATATCCCATAATTTTTGGTGAACCTTTTGGTGAGCCTTGAACCTTTTTCGGAGAAGTAAATTCTTTGTTAATTATTTCAAGTTCGTGCTGTAAGAACTGATCTAGTTCGGTGGAAATGCTGACATTTTTGAAACAGTGGAAGATTCTCCACAGTGCTGGTGTGAGTGGAGGCTCTGACTAATGAAAAAAGCATGATTTTCTGCTTAAATTCTTACAGATTTTATAGATTATCTGTGTAAGGAATAAGTATCTCATGCACATCTACTCTTTTGTAACAGTCTGTGTACACTAAGTCGCTGAGACAGTTATTAGGCAGAAGTACTCTGAGGAGATGAGCTGTTAAATATTTCACTTCTAAAATTGTGGTTTAGATGTATGATTTAGTGCAGATGATATTCTGTGGTAAATTAAATGTGGTAGAGAAGGAAAGGGATTAAATATTTTAAGTTGAAAGCTTAATAACTTGGTGGCGTAATAATTTTAAGAGGCCAAATGTTATCTGGAGCAGATGATATAGAAGCTGGGCTTGTGTAAACTTCATATAGGGGATTTGGGGGGGCAACAGTAGAGGAAAAGTTCAAAATAAAACTGGACTATTAATATATTAAATTATATTGTTAACTGAGAGGTATTAGTAGGGGTGTGGGGGGGGGAGGATGTGTAATTTTCAAGTACTGGGTTAACTTGAAGCTACTTTTTGCAACAATGGTGGCAATAAATTTTGGGACCACTGATTGTTATTATTAAATTAAGGTAATTGTGACAACCGTAATTCACAGTAAAGTTATCCTTCCTCAAATTTTAGAGCAGTATTTGTGCAAATTACCCAAACTACCCAAAAAATAGAACCCTCATCCTTCTGTTCCCCATGTATTTTGAGTTTTACTCTCTACCCACAATATTAAGATGTGCATTGACCCTTCTGTAAATTTATGTTGTGTGCAAGTATTTTTAAGGAACTTTCACCTCCTGTATCTGATGAAGTTGTACCTACTTGTTTGTCCAGGTTTTTATTCTGACATAAGCCTTTAACAGACCTATTTTTTAATGGGCTCTTTGGTTTTCATTGGTCTTTTTTGACATCTTTATACATTATAAATAGTCATTATCTTTTAACTGTAAAGGTGGCTTTTCTATGACGTAGTTTTCATTCTGTGCACTGTTAAATCTGCTTACCTTAATTTTAAAAGTCAGAGATAATAACTGGGCGTTGTGTTGGAATTGGGGGTTTGATGACTGACCAGCTGTAGCAATTCTCAATCCTCCTTTTCTCAAGGCACTGCAAGAAGCACTTAAACTTCCAACTCAAGAAAACAGTATTAAAGGAAGTTGAAGAACGTTAAAATAAGTGTCCTAAGATTTCTTTGTGTTCCCCTGCAAGAACAGCTTCAAACTCTGAACTTTTAAGGGTTAAGGGGTTAGTGAAAAGCAGGGTAGATAATTCAGGGGATAATACTCCTCGGTTTGTATGTGCAGCAGGCATGTATTGAGGGAGAAGAAGATGCATTTAGAACAAAACTTTGAAGTGAGGGTTTGCTGGGAAGCAGGAAGTTGTGTTTTTTTAGAATTATACTTCTGCTGTCTGACCAGACATCAACGTGATGCTTGGGTAAGAGCTGTTTCCTTTGTGCCATGATGTGCAATTGAAATTCCCGTGACATCTGGCATTTTAGTTGGGCTCGTGCCTGAATTTTCTGCAGACCTTGAATAAAAATAGTTGTTCTTTACATCAGCAGCTGGTTGGTTGTAATGCTGCAGAACAGTCACAAATATTTGGCTTCATCTTAGAAACCAAGTTAACTTTCAACTGTGACTAAAGGCAATTTGAAAGAAATAAAAAAAACCAAAACAACCTAAACCCAAAAACCCCTGACCAAACCCTTCTGCTGTGCTGACAGAAGCCAGGAGTAAGCACTTGAATGGATGTCTGAGAACTTGTTTTTCTGAATCCTTAGATTTTTTAAAAAATCACAGTTCTGTCAATATTTTAATAAAGTGAGAAACGTGATTTCAGGGCAGCTCAGAGGTAGTTCATTATCTTGTCACTAATTTTGATTTCTAGTGATAAATGAATTTATCTGCTGACCCAAAGAATGCAATATGTGAAGATGTGATACAGTCTCCTGAATATATGTTCATAATATTTATAGTATTAGTTTAACTTGCCATCCCCTACTGCCATCTAATTACTGGGAATGTTACTGATTTTATATTTTCAAAGCTGAGTGCATCTGATTGGGTCCAACCTTGATTCAATTGTCCTTTCAAACTTATCACTCTTGAATATTTCAACCAAACACTTAGAGATTTACTGCACAACTGTGATGGTGGATTTGGATGTTCATTTTAAAGCAGGTCAGAATAGAAGGATGAAAAGTCTTCCAGCAGGATTAGCTTCTGGCAAATGTGTATATGTAAGAATAAAGAAGAACTGCTTACAATCACTTCTTTTGTTTAAGATGAATTAGTTTCTCTTATTCGCCCTTGCCTGCTGCTGTAAGATGTGGCTGACAGGCATCATCAAAGAAACAGTTAAATAGTAGAAAGTTTATACTAATACTGAATTTTCATTCCTGTAACTCAAACCCAGCTGGAGAGAGAAAACCCCCAATATTTTGTGACTTAAAGGTGTGAATCGTTCAGACTGAAATTCTGAGTATCAGCCGTTTCAACAAATTCATCTTATGCAGAAATAGGTTGTTTGGCAAACTCAAGCCTTCCCTGGGAGGTGGCAGGGGGAGAGAAAATCAGGAGCAAGGGGCAAACTGTACCAGGCACTTTCAGTTCTTGGTTCTGTGTTTGCAGTGGGGACAGTTTCACTCCGAAATGGAGAGATCTCAGACAGACAGCGACAGGAACTTACCCTCATTAATCAGAGCCAGTGGTGGCACTCTGAAAGGACTCTTTGTAGGAGAAGTGGCTGGATCAGGTGGTGGCCTTACATCTCTGGGGTATCCCGGGTCTCTCTGTATCTCATTACCTCCCAGAAGGACGGGAGTGTAGGGCTGGCTGTTGGGAATGTGCTGTGGCACCACCTGGACGAGGGGTGGGGACCCGTGGGTGTCCTGTCGGGAGAAGATTCTCAAGCACTGCTCTTCCAGCAGTGAGATAGTCACAGACTGGTTGTTTACCAGATCAGTCAGTGCTGCGTATTTTACTTCAAGCTCCTTGTATTTCGTTGCCATCCTCAGCATTTCTGTCGTGACGTTCAGGACTTTGTTTTCCAGTTGGGAAAGCTCGAGTGAGTTGTCGCGCTTCCGGATTATCTCGTGCAAGAGTTGCATGTACAGTTGGGTGACCCGGGAGTTCATGTTCCGACTTTCTTTCCTCAGTAACTTGACTTCGTTCACAATGTTTCCATCCACATCCACCACCAACTGCAAAATGTCAATCTCCCGCTTTTGCTTGGACAGCACATCCTTCAGGTTCTCGATGTCCATCCTGGTGACTTCGTCCTTCCTGCTCCCGGCGGCCGGGCCGTTGGTGTTCACGCAAATCGGCCCCGTGATTTTTTGCTCTGGGACCAAGAAGGTGTAACCACATTTCTTCCCTTCCTCTCCGCCCTCTGCGGAGCGAGGGTGTCTCCGCTGGGGCGTCTTGCTCGGCGTGGATTGTTCCGTGCAGCGCCCGATGGACAACAGCAGGAAGAGCAGGACACCCAAAGTCCACTTGAATATCTTCATTTTAACACGAGTGTGGTGACTGTCAGGAGGCTGTTGAACAGATAAAAGATAAAGTCATAAATTAGAGGCAGAACTAAGGTTCCTTGACTGTTAAACTACCTGAACTGGTGAGTTTGCCGTGGTGTGGAGCCAAGCCTTTGGAATCCCTTACTTGGAGTTAGATTCCATTAGATTACTGTCAAAGATCAGCTTTCTCGTTTGAGCAGCAAACCCTGAAATTTAGATGCAGGATTTAGTAGAGAAGTTGTTGCAACAGATAAATTTTCAGAAACAATGTTCTGCTCAGATTCTGTGTTACACTTTCAGTGTCCAGGGGACTGCTCAGATCTGTGCTCACTGCACAAGGTTATAGAACATCCAGTGCTTGCAGAATAAATTATTTCTATAAATGTTAGAATTTGGATTATATAAACGTTTCTGGTCCTCTCTTAGCTTTATATACATATACATATAGATGTATAATTTGCTAATTACTATATAAATACCTATTTATATATAAACCCATTTTTTTGAATTTATATATATACACAGGTGTAGTAGATATAGATATATTGAAAAATATGTCTTTAACACTGTTTTTGGACACTGGTGTTAGGCAGGAGATTAGCTTAAGGTAGTTGTCTTACCCATTGAGAATTACTTATTCAAGTAACTTTACCTTTGTAAGAAAAGCTTGGGACACTGGTCTGGATGTGTGTCCCTATTTAGTTGCCTTGAGATGCACATTTCAAATTGTTGTCACGCTATTTTTGTATTTTTGAGAAGATTTGTATCCAAATAATAGTGAAATATCAGGTGTGTTACCACTATAAATACCATACTGAAGTGTTTCATTCATCTTTAAAGGAAAATAATTAATTTCTCTTAACTTTGTGTAAAGACTTAAAATTATAAAAATCTGGGAATTTTTTTGAGGCACGTTTTTAGCTTTAAACATCTGAGATGATAAACAAAGGTAGCACTTAAATAAGAGGGAAAAGCCCTCTTTTTTATGTTTTGTTTGCTTTGTGAAGCAGATCACTGTTCTTATCTCAGCTGTTGATCTGGCTTTCCTTGCCAGGCTACTTCTCCAAGCCCTTGTACAGTGGCCTTTGGATAATTACAGGGAGAAATACAGTAAGAGCAGGGAAAGTTAATTATCATGCTGTTGCTGCTAAGTTGGAGTTAAGTGCATTTGGCAATCCTGAGACATGGCCCTGGAGGAGAAGCAGAGCTGTGCTGCTTCCTTCACATTCACATTTACAAACCATGAGGTGACTTTTGGATCAGGTCACTTCTCCCAGTTCTATTACTGGCCTTAATATTATTGCTACAAATGGTGTCTGCTCAACCTCAGTGAACCTGTCAAGTCTTTCTTTTTTTGGCTTCACTAGAAGTGGTTACAAGCTTCCAACCATGCTGCACATGGAGTTGGATCTAGGAATCTTGATTAAATGTGCCAGTGTTGCCTAAAAATTAACTTTTTGTTTGGCTGAAGGTTGTATTGCAAGCTCTGCTTCTGGGAGGGGGAGAAAACACTTGCACTTAACACATACTGAAAATCCTTTTTTACCCTGCATGAATGGAGGGAGCACATAAATTTGAGGAAGTTTATTTCAAAACAGTTATTTCTCTTAGTTTGTAGTAATAGGTATTTTGGTGTCTACTAGTAAATGTGTTTTTTTTTTCAAAAACAGAACTTAAAATTATTGTTGATGTTTCTCTGCTGAAAGTGTTCTGTTTAAAGAAAAAAAAAGATAGGAAAAAGTATCACTTTTCTCTAGAGCTGGTTGTGTGTTTTTCTTTGGTAATTTCAGGCAGTTAAAATATTAATCACTTGAACAGTGCTCAGATTTGGAAGTTCATTAGGTTAAATGTTCACATGAATCATGGGAAACACGTGGGGAACTGCTCTGTGTGTGGTTTCTAAGCTGACAAGGATGAGCTGAATTAATTGTCTGAAGCTTAAAAACTAAATTATTTTTCGATACTTTTATGTTCAGTGTTTGCAGATTGAGGGAGAGTGACTTCATGGCATCTGGTTGGGGATGAAGCCATAGCACAAGCCCAGTATTTTACTATTTTCACAGTATATAATAGCTACTTCATAGTCCAAGAAAGTGAATAGCACTTTAGTTCTTGGTAGCTTTTAAATACCCTACAGAGTTACTGAAATAATGAATGGCTGGGGATTTTCCCCACAGCAGCACATTTTTTCCCCTGAAATACATTAAAACTTAAATGAATCTTTCAAAACCAAACACTTTGCAACACAGCCCACGTTCTGACCATGTATTCTGCTGCAGTCTGCTTTCTGCATTTCTTTTAATATTAAATGTGTTCATTTTGAACTTTTACCCTTATGTGTTAAAGTTACAAGTTCTGTGTCTATATATGTGCTGTCAGACCATTAAATGAATTACAGGGTCTAGTACAGCATAGCCAAATGCAGCAGCTGCATAAGATTATGCTCTAGAATGTCAAATGATTCAAATGTCTTGCAGTAAACTGAGACATTCAGATAAGCAGGGATGAGTTCCTTCCAAGAATCTACCTGGTAGGGAATGTGTATGCCCCCCTGGAAATTTTGATGTTGGAAAAAATTAAATGTCTTAAAATGTTGCTTGTCATGTTTAAGCAGCTTAGTGCCTAACTTGTTATACAAGAATAGGTTCTGAGCAAGATATTTACCTGGAGTTTTAATCAGCTTAGAAGGAAATGAAAATACTGTTTCAGAAATTTCCTGATGTTCTGGGCAAGCAGCTTAAAAAAATAGGAGCTGTTTATCCAAAGTATCACAGGATGATAGCCTTAATATGTAAGACCTAAGTGACAAATTGAAATTAGAGTTGGGAAATAGTTTTGGGGTTTTTGAATCAGACACATTCTGCCTAGATTCCCAGGTTTAGATGTTTAGGTGGTGGCAGAACTGTTAGGAGACAGTTGAGGCTCAGGGGTTGGATCACAGAGAACCACAGTCTCCAACCCCCCCTGTAAGTCTGGAGTTGCTTCTGTTGAGTGGGGCTGCTGGAATACCTGGTTGCAGACCTTGGAAATTAGGTGAAGGAGTTTGTGATTGCAGATACTGTTGCTTTAAAATACGTTCTTTAACCCCTTATTAACTGTCATGTTTTTAAACTGGAATAAGCTGTCGCTTCAGTTGGTTCTGTCATGTTTCTGCACCACCCAGTTTTGGGGCTCAGGTTTCTGTAGAAGTTGCATTACGTCTGCTCTGACACACGGGTGTTTTATGGCTTCTGCAGGGCAAAATGTGCCATTATTCATAGCAACACAGACTTCTTCAGCAGCCTGTCAGAAACACTCAGAGCCATGGACAGAGTTTCAGTACCATTTTACATTTAATGCCATTTCTTCTTGTTTCTTTCTTTTTCCAGACTGATCCCCATGCAAAAAAAAACTCAACTTGTTTTCAAAATTAGTCTTGGACTTATTACTTTTAAAAGTGCTTAAAGGGACAAAAATTCTAATTTAAAAGAGCAAAACAAGCCAGTAACTACTATTTTGTACTACTGTAACACAGACTGTGTTATCCCCCCAAATATTTTATCTCAAAGACAGAGTTGCAGGGATGAGGGTGTGTGGAAGTTGGTATATATTTGGCATTCTTCAGCCTTCTGTACAACAAACTATTCATTCTTTGTTATACTGCTGTGACTCAGGTTCAGCAGGATGTAGAATTTGGAAACCCACCACACAAATTGGAGTCTATTCTTCCAGAGCTGACGAAGGCTCTCGTTCTCCCTGGGCAGTGTAGGGTGTGATGGGTGAATGTAACAAAGGTGTCGCAGGTAAATGTGAATTTAGGATTCCCTTTGTCTGGAAAATGCTGTATCAGTACTTAGCTTTATTCAGAATAATTATTAAAAGAATATGATCAAGTGATAAATACCAGTGATGCCCTGTTATATGTAACAGGAAGAGAAACAGGTTTCTTTGAGAAAGTAAATTTATAATACTGAGACTAGAGATCCTCTGAGACCAGTTATTGATGTTATACATGCTTCATTTTCTTTTGAGCTTTGCCTAAGCAGCTGAAATCAATAAACCCAGCTATGTTCCCCTATGTCTACACAGGATAAGTGAGGATTTCTGTGGATTTTTTTGGCTTAAAACCGGACCCATAACATTAGAAGGACCAGTGATGTGGGGAAAACAATCTTATTATAGGAGAAACGTTCACATGGATTTTCAGTATATCTCTGTATTTAAGTGAGTTACTTTTCCCTGTATAAACAAGTGCTTTTCCGGCAAGTCCCTCTGCCTCTGCTGAAATAACAGGATTACTCTGAATTGTATTGACTGGGATCCAGGAATAATATGTTCTTGGGTTTTGTTCGTCACAGACGTGATGTATTGAGTCACAGAACTCGACCTCTTGGAGATGAATGTGAATCTGATTCCATTTAGGAAAGGCAATCGAAAAGTCATCAAGGGCTTTTGAAGCAGTCATTGAAAACGTGTCACTTTTTACAATGATGAATTCCTAGAAATTCTCTGCCAAAGAGGTTTGTAAATCTTGTCACAGTAGGTATTCTGAAAGCACAGCACAATTTCATAACATTTCCAGTTATTTTGGTCAAGTTTTTTTTTAATGTGGGGTTCCTTTACATACGTTGGCGACCACTGTGTGTGTTTGCACTGTTTGAACAGGCAGGTACAACGAAATGGTGCCTTTTGTCTTTGGAAATGTGTGATTTGGGGGCTCCAGAGTTCTCTTTAAAACAGATACTGAAGGTATGAAGCATCTAGCTATGTTTGCTGTAGGAAATTTTACTTCATTCACTGGTGTATAAATGCTAAGGACCAAACCAACAGGGCAGATTACAAAAAACGAAGCTCAATATTACAGTAATTAAGACCTGATAGATGTGGTTACTGCCAAAAGTTTAAAGGTTCAAATTCCTTTAAAACTTTAAATAGTATATTTTTCCACCATACTTCAGATCATGCTTTTGGCAGCAGCGAAATATTAGTATTGCATTATTTGTTTTAAAATAAAC